TCTATATGTCATATCACTTGTGTTATGCTCATTTGCTTTTGCTTCCGCGTTTATACTTCGAAGCAAATGAGCTTTGTTACTTGTACTCATGCTTAATTCATATCCTTTGAGTACATTGTGTTGGCTTGGGTCATATAAGCTTGCCTAACTCTTTTGTTCTTAACGACAAAAGCTTATATGAACCAAGCCCGTCAAAAACCTCATTCCATAACATACTCGAGGTGGTATTGTCATCAATCACCAAAAAGGGGGAGATTGAAAGCATCTAGGCCCCTAAGTGGATTTTGGTGATTAATGTCAATACAAGATTACTATGACTAACGTGTGTTTTGCAGAGGCAATTAAGTTAGGTCATGGTAATAGAGATCGATTGGGCAATTGAGGTTGTCATGCCCCCACGATGGAAATCGTTTCGGTTTTCAAAGGATGGACGACAAGGTTAAGGATAACTAGTTCTAAGTGTCAATTGAAGTTGGAGAGACACTTAGAGTAGTTTAGGACTTTGTTTTTCCTTTGGCCGTACTATGAAGGGGGGTATGAACGGGTAGCTTGACCTAGTTGAGTCTAGTGAGTTAGATGTGGTGCACACTTGTTAAAACTAGCTCTAGGTAGCTCCTATGAATGCCTAAGATCCCTTGGAGCAAACTTCATTCTCATATGATCGAGAGTTGGAAGTGAATGGAGGGTCAAATACTGACCGGACGGTGGCTCCGGTGCGACCGGACGCTGGCCGTAGGGTCCGGTCCGTTCATTTGACTGAGGAGAACATGTCTGGAGTGACCGGACGCTGGAAGGTCGTGTGACCGGACGCTGGGGGCCAGCGTCCGGTCGACTCCAGTAAGGGTCCAGACTTGAGAAAGTGTGACCGGACGCGTCCGGTCAGTGGTGACCGGACCCTGAGTATCTAGCGTCCGGTCGATTACAGTAAGCATCCAAGAGTGATCGGACGCGTCCGGTCAGTGCTGACCGGACCCTGTCAGCGTCCGGTCATCACTTGGAAACTGTTGCGCGGGTTGAACTGACCGGAGCGTCCGGTCAATATGATCGGAGCGTCCGGTCATCCCGCAGAAGCTCATAACTGTTCGTTTTTCAGGCTGCCTTATAAATAGAAGCTCCACTCGAGTGTGGAGTCACTTTTGCTCATTCCAACAGCTGAGAAACACGTTTGTGAGTGCCAAGAAGAGCAAGGTCCTAGTGAGGTGTTTGTGATTTGAGAATCCAAGAGTGAAACCTCATTAGTGAATCAAGAGTAGACAAGTGTGCATCCATCTTCTCATTAGGCTTCGCGTGGTCAAATGAGAGTTCGTGCTTGTTACTCTTGGTGATCACCATCACCTAGACGGCTTGGTGGTGATTGGGAGCTTGGTGATCACCCGACGGAGCTTGTGGGTGACCCAACTCAAGTTGTGAGCGGTTTTGGGTGATTCGCCGCGACGGAGTGTCGAAGAATCAACCCGTAAAGAGCACTTGATCCTTGCGCGGATCAAGGGGGAGCTACACCCTTGCGCGGGTGCTCCAACGAGGACTAGTGGAGAGTGGCGACTCTCCGATACCTCGGCAAAACATCGCCGCGTTCCTCTCTCCATTTACTTTGAGCATTTACTTTAAGTATTTACTTTAAGCAATTCAATACTCGTCTTTACATTCATAGAATTGCTATGCTAGAGTAAGTTTGGAACATAGGTTGCAAGTCTTTTGTGCGTTGATTTGATAGAAACACTTTGTCTAGGCACAAGGGGTTAATTGGGCTATCCGTAGAATTTGATTATTGCAAGAAAATTTAGAATTAACCCAATTCATCCCCCCTCTTGGGCATCTTGATCCTTTCAACCACAAATACTAAACACAAGATGTCTACATTACTTCAGATCTAGTGGAATTACTTATGTGGTTTATCTTCTCTTGATTGTTGCAGTATTTGGTGAAAACATGATAGATGATAGTTATTAAGATGTTGTCAACATCGATATATCTTCTGTGGTGATTGAGCAAATGAAGAAGAAATAACACGATAAGCCTCAAGTTAAATGTTTTATCTTTGTATGGGAAAAGCAACAGTATAATTGCATGATCAACAAGTACTAGTTACACTATTTGAAATGTGTAATTTTCATATTTATGTTTTGAAATTTTCAAGATCATACTCATTGTGCCTTTGTTTGCTCAGAATATCTTAATATGTGAATCTTGTCGGGTGAGACTATGCAGTGATCCTGGTGTTCCATATTCTGTGGACTTCACATGCACGAGCTGGGACATTTAACTTGTAGCAGGGGGTTTAAGTGGGACAGATTTCTGTGTTTTTGTTCACTGTGTAAAGCCCAGTTCAATGTGAAGAAATAGGCCCATGTTTATTCATTCGATACACCTCCAGCAAGCTTAACGGGTTTTTTTTGACCCGTTAAGGAGTAAATCTATGTTCTGAGTTTGGTTGCGGACCCGTTTTGTCTGCTTACGGACCTATTTTGTCTGCTTATCAATAGAAACCGCTGGATGACGATTGTCACCACTGGATACTAATCTGACAGCTACAAGCCGTCACCCGAAAACATTGTATATTTCAGGCACCTGAAATATAACGTCTCCCTTTTTTTTTGAGCTAATTTGGATAACTACATTTAAAGCTACGGCCCTACACGTGTCTTGTTGGGCTGTAACGGGCCTTGACATCCATCTGCTGCGTTCACTTCACTCCTGCGTTTCCTTCTCCCGTTCGCGGTAGCCCCGCGCGCTCGTGCTCTCCCTCTCCCTCTCTCTCTGGGCGACGACTCAGCGAGCGCCGCTGCCGCCTACGCCGGCTGACCAGGTTTTCGTCGAGCCCCTTCGCCAGGTCTTCGCCGTGCCCTTCGCCAGCGACGAGCACCCACAAGGTATGCTAGCCTCTTCTCTTCCCTTCCTGCTGTGTGAAACCGATCACCCAAACCCTACTGTAAGCTAGCTATTATATTTGGATCTGATCTAATTACAAGCGTAGACATGTATTATGCCTGTTAACTTCATCATTTTTTGGCAAAAAATTATAGGGAGTACATCTATACTGGGTCCGCCCCTGCCTTCAAAGATATATAATCCTTAGTGTGGACTTTGTAAAATAGAATACGTGAAAATCACTTTGAAGTTGAGCATAGCTTTTACTCGTCCTCTATTTCGAGCCCGACGAACGTCAATTTCACCTATGTATCTGAAAGCAAAATTGGGTTCCTAATTCAGGTATGTAACTCAGTAACTGTAATGACCCATGGACAGAGCAAACGCCACCGACATGCGGATTACATAAGAGAACGCGAGATGGATAGGAGGAATGAGGAAAGGTTCCTCAGTTCCGTGTTTAACTTTTTCAGTCTGAAATTTGCTTAGCTTTAGCTGATACAAGTTGTGGCTATAAAGCCCACATGTTACACTGCCCTCTGGCCCCATACACGCTAGCTCTCAACTCGCTGTAATCTGTAGCTTCGTGCCTCGTCCAATGCTTGTGCAGCTGCGTCTAAAGCAGGCCATTCAGTTTCGTCAGGCCAGAGTGACAGCATAATTGGCACCTTCCCCGCCTGCAGATGTTGCTTGTCCCCAAGTAACTGAAGTTGGAAAACGCTTGCATACTGTAGAAATCTTCCCAGGTTGCTGCATCAGGTGGAAAATGATTCCATTTCACAAAAACTTGTGGAACAGCAGTGTTACCTTTACCAAATGCCGATCAAGGACAGTCTCTGGTTGCAGATAAACGCTGCTCAAATTGACTGACTTGAACAAGTCAGGAAAGAGCTGGAGTGTAATCTGGAACAACCTGTTTGTGCTGGGACACATGAAAGACATTGTGCACTTGAGCTTCGGGAGTAAGATCAAGACGATATGCTATTGACCAGGGACGTAGACAGTAGGGGGACTAGGGGGATCCATACCCCCCTCATACTTCATCTAAACCCTTATGTATATATTTATTTGCAAGCTAAATTAGTCGACGATTAGTATTTGGTCCCTTCTATTTAGAAGCTGATTACTAGCTGGCTCCCCCTTTGTACATTCTCTAGCTCCGTCCCTACTACGGATCCGTTCTTCTCCAATATAGTATAAGGGCCAAATAATTTGAGAGAGAACTTGGGACAGGGTTGATTCACCTCAGAAGCTTGGGGTATATGGTTGGAGTTTCAACGCATCTTGTCCCCTACCTGAAAACTCCTTTACACTCTGTGCTTGTCAGCCTTGACTTTCGTATGGGTTTGAGCTGTTGCTAGATGCTGCTTGAGTAATTGAGTGTAGGCTGCTCTTGTCTGCAACACATCAGTGACTGAAGGGCCAAGTCAGGAGGTAGTTCAGGTTGAGTTCCATAAGAGGTTAATAACCATACTATGCTTAAAAGGGAGAGCAACCAAGAGAAGTGTGATATGACAAGTTTGTAGCAAAACTCAGCCAACGAAAGCCACTGCCTCCATTTCTAGGAGGGTCAGGAACAACACACTTCAAAGACATGAACTTTATTCTTGGTTCTTGAATATACCGCCCAAGGAACATAAGTGAATATATTCCAAGTACAAATCTAAAATAGAATAGGCTAGGAAGATGCTTACATGGATATAATGGTGCGTGTGTCACATAGCCCTGTTCTGAGAGGACCAAATACTTCCACCTCACGTGCAAAATTAGGAACTAATAAACAGCTCACAATTATCAAGAGTGACCATATACGTTTAGTAGTAGCATCAGATGTAGCTTGCATGTCAGCCACCCACAAATACTGTTATTTCGCTGATGGTGAGATAAAATTTCATCATTTAAGAATTTATGCAGCAAAGAGAAAATATTATTTATTTTTATGTGGAAGGGTAAAAACCCTCCCTTAAGTTTAAAAGCGTGCTAATCTAATACAAGATACAGCTGGGTAAGGTAAACACACTGTTGGTATCACAAACATAGTCATTGCTTTGTGGTTGAAAGCATAGTTTTTAAGGCGGTAAGGCGAGGTGCGGCACTCCACCCCCTTCCAGACGCCTAGGCGGGTTAGGCGCATGGCGAGGCGACGCCATACACAAATAACAGAAAGGAGCAGAGCAGAGCACGAGTACAAGAAGCAGAGCAGAGAAAGAAGGGGGAGGAAAAGCAGAGCCGCAGTGGAAAGTGGGATGGAGGATTGGAGGAAGAACAGAGGAAGGAGAGGCCAAGAGGGGAGAGCATACCCGCAGAGTGGAGCCGGTGATGGAGGAGGCGGCGGAGAAGTCCTGGAGACGGTCGCAGATGGGGCGGGAGTCGCGGCAGGATTAACGGCCACGGATGGGGCGGGAGTCTCGGTCGTGGACGGGGCGGAAGTCGTGGACGCGGATGGGACGTGGGTCGCGGACTCAGGGTCGCAGGCGCCGCCGGCCCGCCGCTCGATTTCAGGTGAGCCGACGCGCTCTTCTCTCTCCCTCTCGCCTCCCTTTCCCACCCTCGACTGGCGCGAGTCAGATGGATGCGTCTTTGGCAGGAGGTATGCGCGCGCTGCTCCCTCTTTCCCGCGCGCTCGCGCCTCTGTTTCCTGCGCGCACGCAACGCTCCGCTCTTTCCCCCACGCGCGCAACGCGCTGCGTTTTCCCCGCGCGCGCAATCCCAGGCTTCCCGCCCACGCGCATGGTTTTCCTCCTGCGCTCGCGCGCGCGCGGCGTCCGCCTAGAGCAAGTCGACGCCATGGCGACGACTTGGGGTGCAAGGCGACGCCATACGCGAGGATGCCGTGGCGAGCCCGACGCCATGGTTCAAAAAACGCCCGGACGACAAGGCGTCGCCTAGGCGACGCCTTAAAAACTATGGTTGAAAGGGACAGCTCAACAATATTTCAGTGCCTATTTGGTGGTTGTACATAGAACCTTATATCAAGATTCAAGAAGACATGATTTTTTTTAACTAAAAAGACATGATTTGAACCCTTTCTAAACTGTCAAATGGCTGCAGATAATATGACAAGAGGAACTAACCTTAAAGCTATCACCTCTCAATATATGTTTATATGCAAATGATTTATCAACATCCATGTATTCTGTTAGCATATGACTGTTAGACCATCCTCATCAATTTGCTTGCTGAAACCCTAGAGCCTAGACAAACTTGAAGCTTACAATCCAGATCTAAAAACATATATGCTCTATAAAATAAGTTTTGTTACATGACAAAGCAACTAGATAATCTAAGATATCAACAAATTTGCAATTGCAAACCTCGTCAGTGTTGCTCAAACCAGAACTCCTTGCAGCGAACCTACTGGCACCTGTTCTAACATACATTAGCACCACACTTCGTCAGTCGTCACTGCACCAAGATTGCATTAAAAGAAAGAGCTGAAACACCGAAATAACTAATCCCATGAGCAAAGGCGAAACTTCTCTATAATATCATTTGCCTTCAGAAAAAAATGAAGTTGATTGCTCCTTCATTTGATCATGATATAGTATTTTCCTCCCCCTCCCCATTTTGTGGGAGATCCACCTAAGAGTTATCTGGAACATATAAGAGCTATTCAACTGTGAGGAACAGATTATTTAGAGAAATGTGGCCATTGAAAGGAATGGACAACTACAGTCTTAATCAAATTTTAGGGTTAACCAACTATATTCAGAGAAAGGCCGATCAGGGTACCTCCTTTGTCAATTAAATAAGTTCTGCGCGAGTAGAGTAATTAGAGAGGGCACAAACAAACCAACAATTGCACTATTTTTCTGCAATTAGCTGCTAGTCTGCTAAAAATGCATGTGCAGAAAGAAAATTAATCTCTGAGGTAAATTTGATACTATGAATCTGCTGCATGCAAATTCCTAAATACCAACGAACAATGCTGAAAAACAAAAACAATTTCAGATCACCACTAAACCAACTCCAAGAATTCATTTACAGAACATTTGGCATTTTCATCACAGCTAAGGAACCCCTATGTTGGAAAAAAGGGCCTTGAGTCCGCTCGAGCTTCTTACATTCTTTTTCAGGCATCTCCTTTTACCACAGGATGGTTTCAAGACATACTGCTGCCTTCTGATGCCGGAGGAAGCAGTCAACTAAGATGGGAAAATTCCTCAAATTGACAGCCTTTTGCTGCCACTAATCCCCGGATGGACACGGTCACCATGCAGCCCAAATTGAGGACAGCCTTTTGCTGCCACTAATCCCCCAGCTGGACGCGGTCACCATGCAGCGCTGGACCTGGCCCCACATGACATCTCTCCCCCCCTCGACGAGCAGCTCGTCCTCGAGCTGGAAGGCAGGATGACGCTCAATGAAGGTGTCGACGTCTTCCTGCCTTCCAGCTCGAGGATGAGCTGCTCATCCATCGAGGGGGCACCAGGTTGTCAAGGGCATCGGGATTCAGAGTAGCTGACCCTCGACTACGTAGCTTGTAGTCTCGGTTGATAATGGCGTGGGGTTGTTCCCCTGAACCCCCAATGGTGAAGGGGGTGAGATTGAGAGAGAAAGAGGGAGATTGGGAAATAACTGTTGTTGCTTAGTTGTCAAATGTTCTGAATACCAGAGATAAATAGGCGCTCAGCCTCCTAGATGCGGTCACCATGCAGCCTTTTGCTGCCACTAATCCCCCGGCTCAACGCGGTCATCATGCAGCGCTGGACCTTTTCTTGCTACTCAACCCCTTCGCTGGATGCGGTCACCAGCACTGGAGTGGTCAGCATGCAGCACTGGAGTGGTCAGCATGCAGCGCTGGACATGGTCACCATGCTAACCATGCGCCGAGTGGTCACCATACAGCACTGGACACGCTCACCATGCACCTACGGCGCTCCCTGCGCACGTCACACGTTGAGCGCTGTCGCGCGTCCCTGGTGCGGCCCCGACGAGTGTACTGGTGGCCCCACATGACATCCCTTCCCCCTTGACGAGCAGCTCGTCCTCGAGCTGGAAGGCAGGATGATGCTCGATGAAGATGTCGATTTCTCCAAGACGAGCTGCTCGTCGAGGGGAGGAGAGATGTTATGCGGGGCCACCAGGTTGTCAAGGGCGTCAGGATTCAGAGTAGCTGGCCCTCGACTACGTAGCTCGTAGTCTCGGTTGGTAACGGCGTGGGGTTGTTCCCCTGAACGCCCAATGGTGAAGGGGGTGAGATTGAGAGAGAAAGAGGGAGATTGGGAAATAACTGTTGTTGCTTAGTTCTCAAATGTTCCAAATACCAGAGATAAATAGGCGCTCAGCCTCCTAGATGCGGTCACCATGCAGCCTTTTGCTGCCACTAATCCCCCGGCTCAACGCGGTCATCATGCAGCGCTGGACCTTTTCCTGCTACTCAACCCCTTCGCTGGATGCGGTCACCAGCACTGGAGTGGTCAGCATGCAGCACTGGAGTGGTCAGCATGCAGCGCTGGACATGGTCACCATGCTAACCATGCGCCGAGTGGTCACCATACAGCACTGGACACGCTCACCATGCACCTACGGCGCTCCCTGCGCACGTCACACGTTGAGCGCTGTCGCGCGTCCCTGGTGCGGCCCCGACGAGTGTACTGGTGGCCCCACATGACATCCCTTCCCCCTTGACGAGCAGCTCGTCCTCGAGCTGGAAGGCAGGATGATGCTCGATGAAGATGTCGATTTCTCCAAGACGAGCTGCTCGTCGAGGGGGGGAGAGATGTCATGCGGGGCCACCAGGTTGTCAAGGGCGTCAGGATTCAGAGTAGCTGGCCCTCGACTACGTAGCTCGTAGTCTCGGTTGGTAACGGCGTGGGGTTGTTCCCCTGAACGCCCAATGGTGAAGGGGGTGAGATTGAGAGAGAGAGAAAGGGAGATTGGGAAATAACTGTTGTTGCTTAGTTCTGAAATGTTCCGAATACCAGAGATAAATAGGTGCTCAGCCTCCTAGTCAAGTAAGATGGAAAGACTCATCAAATTGAGGACAGCCTTCTGCTGCCACTAATCCCCCGGCTGGACGCAGTCACCATGCAGCCCAAATTGAGGACAGCCTTTTGCTGCCACTAATCCCCTAGTCAAGTAAGATGGAAAGACTCCTCAAATTGAGGACAGCCTTTTGCTGCCACTAATCCCCTGGCTGGACGCAGTCACCATGCAGCCCAAATTGAGGACAGCCTTTTGCTGCCACTAATCCCCGGCTGGACGCGGTCACCATGCAACGCTGGACCTTTTCCTGCCACTCAACCCCCTCGCTGGACGCGGTCACCATGCGCCTACAGCGCTCCCTGCGCACGTCGCGCATCCCTGGTGCGGCCCCGGCAAGTGTACTGGTGGCCCCACATGGCAGAGATCCTAATCCCTCATCATGAAATTAGGGAAACAAACAAATTCCTCAGGGAGTCCATTGGTAGTTTGATCTGAAGCCAGTGAACACAGACGTTGTTTAGAACCAGAACTCCTAAGTTACAACTTTATTGGCTCTAGTGGACTTTCCTAAGAAGTACTAACCTCTGATCGCTGTGGCTAAGAGTAATCAATTGTTCTCTAATCAGCTTATCTGCTTTCCAGAATACAGTGTGTGTCTCGATTTGGAAATTGTCATAGGTCGGATAGATAAATCAACAGCCAAAATTCAGTTTATTCAGTAGCTACATTAGGGAACTCCTCTCGTTTCTGAAAAAGATATACTGTTATGTTACACCATGAATGAGAAACTGTGTCATTATTTTGTGCTTGTTCATCAGAGTTGGGTAATCTTCTTCTTCCGGGTTATACAGATTAGCTTGATGTCTTTCCTGAGACTGTTGCCTCAAAGACTACCCCAACTTATCAGGTATATTTTAACTTCGAGTTTTCACTAACCCTACGCAATATGATAGATACTTCATTTCTGTGTGTCCATAATTTCATTGAAAATGAAATGGGGTTATGTTTTCATTTTCTTGCTTGATGCTCTCTCAGGCAGGTGGAGCAAGATGTTGAGACTGTAATCCACGTTCTCCAGCCAGGTCCAATAGGGATTGTGGAGCACAAATTCACAGATGCAGAGATCTTGGAGGCCAGGGCCACAGTGAAAAGAGCAGTGGATAATTGGCGAACAAATTGGACCCTTGAGAGAAATCTTGGCAGCACGACTTTTGATAAATGGCAATAATATACTCCTCGCCCCTTCTAGCAACAGTACTTGAAAAAATAGGGTGCCATGGCTGGGTGCAGCTGTTGCCATTTTTTAGTTGGATTTGAGCACGATCTGCTTATCGGGAGTTATGTAAACTGTTCTAAATGATCAGTCTGTTTCTCTTTATTTCATGGCTTGAAAGGTTCGTATTTAGAGAATGCAGTAATTCGACTCTGATAGATTGCTTGTTTGGAAAAGTTTTTTTTTCATCGTACTGCTATACGGGACATTTTCTTTTTGTTCATTGCATTGTCGGCAACCGCCTCTCCACTTGATATGTTTTAGTTGCTACTTTCGGATCATAAAATATTCAATAGTCTAGTTGTTTCGTGTTTCGAGTAGATAAAATGTTATAAAAAGTTTAAAGACAGCTGGCACCAACAGCTGGAGTAGCTCAGTTGGTTAGAGCGTGCGGCTGTTAACCACAAGGTCGGAGGTTCAAACCCTCCCTTTAGCGTACCTTTTTTTCCCTCCTTACATTTTTTTTGCTGTTTTTCTATTTCTTGGATTCCCTCTTTACATTTTTTTTCATGTTCTGGATTCCCTCCTTTCTCTTTATTTATTTTTTAATTTTTGCTGTTTTTCTATTTCTTGGATTCCCTCCTTACATTTTTTTCATGTTCTGCAGTCCCTCCTTTCTCTTTATTTATATTAATAAATTATTTTTCTGTTTTTCTATTTCCTGGATTCCCTCCTTTCTCTTTATTTATTTTTATAAATTATTTTCTTTTTCCTTTCTCTTTATTTATTTTTATAAATTATTTTCCTTTTTTCTATTTCCTGGATTCACTCCCTTCTCTTTATTTATTCTATTTCCTGGATTCCCTCCCTTCTCTATATTTTTCCTATCTTTATTTATTTTTATAAATTATTTGCCCACGCCTATAGCAACGCATGTGGCTTGTGGTTAGATGAACACATTAAGAAAATTTTAAATCTAATTATGTAGAAAAAATTTATAATCTTTATTGCCTATATCATGTAGATCTAGTTTATAGAAACCTAACAAAATTGGTTTTACTTTTTTATTACTTTTGTGATTTATCTCTACACCTAAAAATAAGAAAGGGAAGAAAGATTGTAAATGAACTTTGTACTAAAATCTTTGATGGCTAATCAAAAATTTCATCTGTTCCTGTCGAGCGCCTCCCTAAACCTCTGGTCCTCGTAATCCAATTTAGCCTCTATCGCACGTTTCCGTAAAGATTTGCGCCAGGCACCTTGAGGTTGGCCGTTGGCCCCATAGATGCAGAGCTGCGCAACGTGGAGGTAGGCGAGCGCGTATGCGTCCCTCCAGGCGGTGTCGACCTCGCTCTAGGGGCCGAGTGGAGCTGCTCCCACGCCATCTTTTACGCCGCCTCCATCGCGCACAGGTCCCTGGCTGTGCCTTCACCAAGGTGACGAAAGCAAACTGGCCTTCTGAGAGCCCTAATTTGGTTTTGGATAATTGATGAAACCTAAGTACTAACCTATGTCATCAAGTATGATCATAAGCTAGGTTAGTACATACCAAGTGATGGAGCAAGTGAGAGGTCCATGGAAATGAAGATGGACATGTGATGATGGTGATCAAGCTCCAAAACTTGGAAAAGAAGAGAAAAACAAAAACCAAGGAGATCAACACAAATGTATCAAATAGGTTTTTATTTTGACACTCAAGACACCACAGAGGGTGTGAGTGTATTTATGATCGATAGCCCTACTATAAAGAGGGAAAATATTTGGCTAAATGGTTATCGAGTACCACTAGGTGACATGATTCTTGCATATGCATTAAGAACCTAGTGTGCTAACAATTGACCCTTGTAAAATGCTTTGAAAAATGCTAACACATGTGCACACAAGTTCTACACTATGTGGTTAGCAACTTGGAAGCAAGGGTGAAGCGGTTGAGGAGATAGAAAAAGAAAATGAGGTGAAAAGGCAGTGACCGGACTCTGCTTGCGCAGTGACCGAACTCTGGCCTAATGCGTCTAGTCAGTGGCACTGCTCGTGGCCGAGAAGGCCGAGCAAGGACCAGATGCTGTCAGGGCGCGCAAAGAAGGAGGCGCTCGGCCTCGCAATTGGATGCAGGAAAGAGGACGTGATCGGACGCGATGCTGGTGCGTCAGGTCATGCTGACATATGCTAATGCAACCTCCGTGTGTGAGCTCAATGAGGATCAGACTCTAGGGTGCGTCCGGTCATGTGTGATAGGACGCGTCCGGTCAATGAAAATCGTCTCTGGATGCTTTCTGTACTTGACTGGACCCTGAGCGGCGCTGAGTCAGGTCGTTTGGAGCAGTGCGTCCGGTCATCCTTTAACCACACGAGCGAAACATTTTGACCGTTGAGATCTGACGTGCGAGGTTTGAAGCAGTGCCACGTGGACAGCATCCGTGGACCGAACACTGGGATGCGTCCGGTCAGGCGAGTCCGGCCGGCCCCCGACAGGGCAATGACTCTATTTGCTTGGGGCACCTATTTAAGGCTCTTGGCCGGCTTGGGGCTCACTCTCTTGGCACTTTGACATAATTGACATCCTTGTGAGCCTAAGCAAACACCTCTCACTCATCTCCATCATTGATTCATCATCATAGTGAGATTGGAAGTGATTCCTAGTGCATTTGCTTGAGTGATTACATCTAGTGGCACTTGGGGATCGTTGTGGCTATGGATTTGTTGTTACTCTTGGTGGTTGCCGCCACCTAGATGGCTTGGAGTAGCGGAGGAGGATTGGCACAAGTTGGTGATTGTTCGTGGCCATCTTCGGTGATTGTGAGGGGTCTTGTACCTTCCACGGCGAAGAGGCAAAAGGTAACTCTAGTGGATTGCTCATGTCATTGAGTTACCTCACTTGTGGTAGGTTCTTGCAGCGCCTAGTGAAGGCTTGGTGTGGTACCAATTAGCCGCCGAACCACCAAGTGTTGATCGACATAACGGGGACTAGTGTGTCGGCAAGCACGTGAACCTCGAGAGAAAAATCATGTGTCATCTTGTGATTGGATTTCTCTTGATGATTGATTGGCATTCATATTGATTGGTTCATCACCCTTGCCACGGCGGTATAATCATCCTACTCTCTTGTATTACTTTCTTTACATTCTTGCCTAGTGTCTAGCTCTTTAGTGTAGCTAGTTGTGAAAGCTTGTTAGTTTGGTTAGTGTAACTCTTTACTTAGTCTTTGAGAGCAAATTAGCTTAGAGAGTAGTGATATAGGTTTTTGTGTGCTTAGTGATCATAGCAATTAGAATTATTGGGTAGGTGGCTTGTAACCCTTGTAGAGCTAGAGCAAAATTGCTTCACGCCATTTAGTGTACTAACAAATTGCTCTAGTGATTTTGTAGAGTTTTTTATAGGCTATTCACTCCCCTCTAGCCATTTAGGACCTTTCAAGTGGTATTAGAGCCATGGTCACCGTTTGATTGAAGGCTTAACAACCTCGATGCCGAAAGATAGCTCAAATAGTGTTCAACCATGTTGGGGGCAAACCACCACACTTTGATGGCACATGCTATGATTATTGGAAGAGGGAAATAAAGATGTATTTGGGTTCAATCAATGACAAGCAGCCTGTTCGCTTGCTCGTATCTGGCTTATAAGCCATGACTTATCAGCCAACGAACAATATTTTTCTCACACAAAACCAGCCAATAGTACTTTCAGCCATGGCTTATAAGCCAAACCAGCCCAAACGAATAGGGCGAAGGTGTGGGATGTGACCGAGAATGATTTTGTGATTCTTGATCCCACCAATCCAACCCCAAGAGAACTAGAGAACAAGCAATGCAACACAATGGCACTCAACACCATCTATAATGCCATTGATTCAAAAGTGTTTGAGAAAATCAAAGATCTTGAGAGAGCTAGTGAGGTGTGAAAGAGATTGGAAGAAACATATGAGGGCACACCGGTGATCAATTTCGGCCTCAACAGTAAGCTGTCGGCAGTGATGATCATAGCCCTCATCGTCGCTATCTGAGACTGTCTGCGGTGTACACTAACACCTCCACATTGGCTTATGATCCGTCCATGCTAAGGTCCTTACTTCCATCGCATTGGAGCACGACCCGCCAGTGTGGGTATGCACTAACACCGCCGCATGGCTTATAATCCATCCATGATCAGATCCTTATTCTATCGCATTAGAGTGTGACCCGCCTGTGTCGAGGCGAACATCACCATCGCTTCAGCATATGAATCATCTGGTCATAGGGCATGGTCACCGTCGCGTTGTAGTACGATCCACTCATGATGATCCTTTAGTCGGTGCCGGGTTACTAAACGATTCACGGTGATACACTATTGACCCCTACCGCATCAGACGAATAGCGGCGGTGATGGCATCCCATTTTCACAATGTATTTACTAATTTAGCTGGGCCTTAATAACTTACTGAACACACACCAAACAAATTTAATCATTACACATCATTCGTCATATCCACAACGAAGATTACTTGTTATAATAACAATGCTCGACACTAACATAACAACTGTAACAACTGATGAATTAACATAAGTGGTACATAGATAGCATAATAAAGGTTTTGCTCCCTACAGACTTATGTAACTAAAACGAGGTAGATGTGCTACGCTCCTTTAGATTGGCACTCCTTGATCAGCTTGGCATCCAATGCAGCATGAAACCCCTCTTCTTCCTCCCATAGCCATTATTGCAGGAAAATCGTTCAAAAGCACTGACACTCCAAAACCCGCACAATGCAAAGCATTACTACTCTGAACAAAATTTGACTATATATATAGACTCAAAACAACTCCCTACCTGGACAAAGACATGTTCTAACAACAAAATATAGCATATGCACCTTCACTGCTCTATTAATGACTCCATGAACAATGGAACATAAGGCAGATAGTGAGGTCCATTCAAATAAATACTCCAGAGACTTCTAGGATAGCGGACGACCCGGGCAGGGAGGACATGAACTTTTCTGCGGCTCATGTCATATGCCATCAGTGTTCTGTCCTCCCTAA